CTTTCCCTTACTGCCCGGGAACTGTGTTTGGAACTGAGAAGATAAAAGCTATTCACAGAGTATTTCCCGTGGCAACAGGAGACATTCAAACATTTTGCTTCTTCATTGCACCTTTTGCTCTCTCATTATGCCCGATGCCCTGTCTTCTACTGATATTTATCAATTCAACCCCAGGGCACCACACAGATGCAGATAAACCTGTGCGAACCCCGCTTCGCTCCTGGCGGCAGCAAGTAAAAGCTTTTAAAAGAGAAAGTCAAGCTCAGCAGACTCTGGGAAAGAGCCTGAGCTAAAGACTCGCCTGTCCCAGGCTGCACCCGCGGCTCCTGCATGCACAGCACCTCCCGCATGATGCTCTGGAAGAGGGCTGGAGATGAGTCCTTGCTCGCATCTCCATCACCAGCGACGCCTGTGGGACCCGTCCGCTCTCACGTCCTGCCTGCGAGGCCCGTGCGAGTCCCACCTCCTGCTCTTCTACCCACCACCCCTGGGCAAGGCGGTGCTGCCGGCTCTCGGGTTTTGGGATGCCGATGTCGGCAGCTGGCGTGGGCCACCCCAAAACCATCTCAGGTTGTGCCGGTCGGTGTGCGTGTCCTGTCCCTGGCAGCGCTGCAGCCGCCCGCTCCTAACGCTGGCTTTTAGAAGGAGAAACCAAGCGTCCCCACTCCTCCCACCAAAGAGGAGCTGCTTTTATCCCCGTGACGAGCAGAGGTCGCTGCGAAAAAGCAATCCTAAATCCCGCTTTAGGAGAATTATGCAGGCTTAGGAGAAAAGTTCCTGCTTGCGTGCAGCCCTCCGGGGAGGCGAGAGCCGCGAAAGGGCGAGCGCTGGATCTGCCGTCGGGTGGCAGCAGATGCTCGTTGCATCGGGCTCTCCTTGGAGTCCCCCGGCCCTGCAGAAGGGGCTGCCTTCCCACGCTCCCCCTCCTTAAATCCAGCAGTACCCGGGGGGCAGACACGCACCCCAAACCCATGTGTGACCCCCCGAGGGCACCCTGCCCTTCAGCGGGGTCTCGGTGAGCAAACGGGCAGCTCCGCTCCCTGCCCTTTGATGGTGCCCGTGGAATGTAGTTTCCATAAAGCGATGAAAGGAGCGGCGGTTCTGCCTGGATGCTGGGTGGGATATCTCGTATTCCAGCCTTCCCTCGCCCGGACGGGCTGCCCCAGGTCACCCCAGCAGCCACAGCAGCACCGGAAAGTTTGGAGGGCAGCTGCCTGCTCCCACAGCCCCGAGTCTAACATGTTACGTCCAGTGGACACGCAACTGCCAGGGGAGACTTTGGGAGCTCCCCGGAGCATTGAGAAATAGCCAAGATGAGCCGAGGTGTGTTTAAATGCCCCTTTCGGACACAATTGGGATGTTTCACTACGCCCTCTTCTCCTTTTTTAGTTTTAGAGGCTGGACCCAACCTCCAGCAAACTCGACTGAAGAGCTGAGAGCCATTTTTTATTCCAGACTCCTGGTAATAAGTACAGTTTGGTGGCTGACTCTTACGCCTCTGTCTCAAAAATCAGATTAATTAATCATAGCACGTGACGGTGCGAGGCTAATAAGGACAGCAACGTCCTGAGCACCGCGGCTGGCTCTGCGCTCCACACCCCCTGTGCTATTGCTGTTCCCAGTCACCCTCCTGGAGAGGGGAAGGGGAATTTAGGCTGGAGCGAGCTGTTTGGCGGAGGATGGTGTACCTGTAGGTTAGAGCACTGATCAAGTGCTACAGCTTAATTTGGGGCAAACGGGCAGGCTGGTTCTCTTAGGCTGTATCTATTCAGGCTTGCATTTTTTGAATCCCTCCAAAAACCAAGCGACATAGTGACCCCTGTGCTAGTACCCGGCCCCGTCCTCACATGCCCGAGTGCAACATCGGTGCAAGAATCAAAGCTGAAAGGTCTCAACCAGTTCTTTCACGGAACAGCAATACAGGGAGACCATTCACATAAGCTTATTTTGCTTGTAAATAACACGGAGGCCAAAAGCAAGGAGGTGTCACACCGGTGGTCTCTTTTCTGCATCGTACACCCCGGGAGAGGAGTGAGAGGAGACCTCCCTCTGGGGAAGAGGGACCCATTCCACTTACCAGTTCCAGTTTCCCATCCTTGAGTCGGATGTGGGGATCCAGCGCTACTTTTGGTTTGGTGCTTGAAGCTGCTTTGGGATTAGATGCCGAAGCGGGTGCTGAAAAGCCAAAAATAAATGTTAATGGAAGAGCACTTGGGTAGGGGAAAGAGGGACCTGCAAAGCAAACTTCACAAGTCTTATTGAATGAAACACAATGTGTGTGCAGCAGGCCAAAAAAGCAAAGAGCAAGATTTACTAAATCCAGTCCTGGAAGGCTGAACTAGGCCAGTGTTGAAAAGATCGGATACTGGGGCACACCCTTACTGAAACTGGGCTTCTGCACCATTTCAAATGGGATGTTTCATCCGAGGACCGAGGACTGCGAAAACAGCACTTTGGAAATTTCCAATCACAAATTTTTGTGGAGTCTTGGTGTCTGTAGTTATGGTGATCTGTGAAAAATAATATCTGCCTGGGTCTTGTCTTCTTTAATTAAGCAAAACGAAGGCCCAACGTTTTAGAAAATGCAGCCTTGGCTTTCGCAACACCCCTGGGAAAAAGGAATCAACCGATTAAAACCGATGCGGAAAAATACCGGTGCAAGAATTTTTTCCCTCTCCAAGGCTGCAAAAAGCCTTGAACCCTTTTCCCTCCATTGGGCAGGCAGGGTTTTTTGGGTAGCAGGCACACACGGAGGGAGAAAGAGGCAGAAACAGCAGCTGCTTTGCTGGTGAAAAGCTGTCGTGAGATCAGAAGAACCAGCTGCTGGCACCTGGCTCGTCCTTACAGACACCGCCTTCACAGCTGAAACGGTACGGAGCGTGAGCCCTGCTGCCACTGGGGCTCCTCCATCCCCGGAGGGAACCCCACCTTTGCCGGTACGGTTAACTCTTGTCCGTAAAAAACTGTGAGATTCCCTGGGAAAAGGGCTGCAGAAGGTGTTACCCGCTCGGGAGGTCCCCTGGCAGACTTTGGAAAGGTGCTGCCTGCCTGCCCGCCCCGCTGCCTGCCCCTGCTCACTCTCAGCCCGTCAGCCCAGGTCGGTGACAACATTCTCTCTCGTGCCAGTGGCACCCAGTTTGCCCAGGGAGCACTTGCTTTCGCCTGCCTGGGATTTGATAAACATCCCGTCTTGCTGAGTAACACCGCTTCTCCCGAACCTCTCAAGCATCCTCCTCCACCGCCGGGGCAGGGAGCGGGCGCGAGGCGAAGGCAGCGAGAAGCAGCGGAGGAGCTGCACAAGCGTAATCCTCCTAATCCGGGCATTCATCCGCTCTGCTAACGCCAGCAGCTGGGAAGCAGCAAGAGGTAATAAATGGGTCTGCTGGATCGGCCACCAACACTTTACTCTCCAAGTTCAAGGGCAGAGCCGTTACCCTTCGCCGTGTGGCTAATCAGGATTAGCTCCACGTGGCTTTGCTGTCAGCTCCGGACACAGACATATCCGGGGCATCCATCAGGCACCCAGGGAGAGGCACTCACTGGCCCAAGCTCCAAGCCTGGCCGCTGCTCTTTCAAAGCCAGTTGTCTGTTTTCATGGATGACAACACTGACACAAAGCCTCCTCAGCGTTTCACGTAAAATAAAAAAAAACCAAACCCGCGTGTAGTGAAATCCCCTGGCTACGTCAGGAAGCGATTAGGTCATTGCTGTTTGCTGGATTGCCTACATGACCCAGGACTTTGCTCCCCGTCGCCGGCAGCTCTGGCTGTCGCTGGTGGCCACCTAAAGAGCCTACCCGCAAATCAAGGCTGCGGGATGCTTGGGGCAGGGAGGACGGACCGAAAGCAGTCCCTGTCCCGGGGTCTCTGCGGTGCGGAGCATGGAAGGCGAAGGCTGGATCCTGCTGAGCTTGCCCAAGGTGAGACAGGCATCCCTGGGAGCAGAGCGCTGATGCACATCCGGCCCAGCACCGTCTGCTCGCTGTCTCTCCCACTAATCTCAGGTATAGACTAAACACAATTCACCCCGCGACGCTCGCTCTTAGCCTTCCCGATGGAAATGACAACGTGGCACGCTGCCTCGGCAGCGCGGGGGAAAGGAAGGGCCGTCTGACTTGCGGCCGTGAGAATGACGGGCTGCGCTTGCGAGGGGAAAGCTCAGTTTGTCCTCTGGGCAGAAGTAACCTTCATATCATAGGGATACGGGGTATCTTGCTGGAGGTCACCTCCCTGGATGGTGGGTCGTGGGGGTCATTGAGGTTTTCTGCGATTCCTAAGGGACCTGTGAAGCTGCGGGGCGATTTGAGTTCACCCCTCGTTGCTGCCGTCCTGTCGAGTGAACAGAGCAGGTCTCACCCCCAAAAGTTAAGAGCTCAGTATGGGACTCAGAACATGGAGAGAAAACACAGCATGCAAAAGTAAGCCAAAAATGAAGCTTGGATGTAGAGGGAAATGGGACTTTATATGGGAAATGATATCTATAAGCAGTTTCCCAATGTGACCAACTGAGGGCATCCTTAATGCCTGTATAATGCCCAGGGTTGCTGTGTACATGACAACTATCATTAATTGCATTTTTTTTATACTGTGTCTCCAAGGACTACCCATCCGCATCAGAAGGGGGAACACTGCCTGCAGTGGGACCTGCTGGATGCAACTCTGACATGTTCTTTGTATGTGGGCAAAGACACCGCTGCAAGTGAAACACAGGCTGAGAGCGGAAGAAGTTGTCTCCTACGAATACCTTAGTCCTCTGAACGCCTTAGTAAGGAATTTTGCTACTATGTACAAACATGGACATAGCTACTACCAGTTGAGTAAGCCAAGCTGCTACCTTCTCTCTCTCCTAGCGGGCTGAGTCTCGTTATCGCACCATTAGATTCCACTACAGCAGTATAAACACTGATCAAGATTAATTTCGTCATCCTCGGCACCGAGGAGCCAAGGCTGTGTTTGTCACCCGCACAAAGAAAACAATTGAGCAGGTCTCTTACCTGAGATGGTAAGCTCTGGTGGGCAAATGTCCGGTGACAAAGAAGGCACAGGAAAATGATTTTCATGTCTATTCTAGAAAAAATAAGACAAAACAGCAGAGATAATCGCTAAGCAGAATCTGTTGGTGTAAACAAAGAGCGGAAGATAGAGGAGTACAAGAAAGAGCAACCTATCCAGCCCGTGAAGAGCACAGGCAGCACGTACACCTCCTGTGCAGATGGGCCAAAAGAGACCCCAGGGGTTTCTCTGGGAGCACTTGGCACAGGCACGTTCCTGAGCCGTCTCAAAATCTCTGGTCACACACAGAAAAACGAGTTTGTCATCACCGTAATTGAGAGCTGAGGATGAATTTGACCTTGTATGGTTTCTCCATAGAGGTTCTCCCTAAAGGTCTTCATCCAACCCGCCAGCGAGGTACTGAGTCTGACCCAAAACACGTAATTATCACAGTGAGCATGGCAGAAAGCCGAAACCAGTGCCCGGTCACAGCTGAAAGCACAAGTAAGAGGGAAAACTAGTCACAGGGTAGATATGCTGAACACCACTAAGTCAGTGCTTCCACAGCTGGGAGCTTAGATGCAGAGAGGGGCACAGGACCGGTGCTGAGGACATACGGACATGTGGCACGGGTACCTGAGCACGCTTTCCCTTGCGCGGAAGCCCAGACCTCATTAAAAGTTCCATCTTTTAGCAGTAAAGTGAGGAAAGGAGCAATTTCATTCCAGTTGGCAGTGTAATTTCATATAGGTTCACAACGTTACACAAGCACACCTTCTGCTGGATGGTGAAGGATCTAACTATACTACTCAGCTATATGTATATGGGCTAAGGCCGACTTCATAAGCGTGTCTCCAGCCTGGTACACCCAAAGGCAACGTGTACATGGCATTCTTGCATGTCGATGTCTCCACAGGGTCTGGAAAGAAAGACTTTTTGTGAATGATGCTGGTATGAAAGGAACCTCCAGCCGGCCTTTTCTAAAGGAAGTTTCCATGGAAGAGGCAGAAGATACACCCGGCATTGCCCCAGTCCCGGGGAGGAGTGGCAAACGCACAGAATCCAGCCATGGCCCTAAATTATCGTGAGGGCGGTGTGGTTAAATCCTGTCTCACCACGCACAGCTCGAGCCCTTGTCTCTGCAAACACAACGTGGAGTTGGCTTCACAGGAAGAATGAGCCTGGCTTATCATTAGGCTAGTGAAGAACAGAAACGGGCTGCTTAGGAACGCTCTGGATTCATCCTCCTCAGAGGTCTTTAAGAACAAAGAGTTGCTCCTGCCTTTGGGTAGGAGACTAGATCAAACTGACTCCTGAGATCCCTTCCAGCCCTATGACTGGTATTGAATGAGATGCAGGTTGCTCTCCGCAGAAGGGTTTTGTTTTGTTTTGTTTTGTTTTTTAAAACCTGAGACTTCTGAAACAGGTCTGAACGCAGGCCCTGGAGATGAAACTCCTCTCATTACCTCCACCGATCCTTCGCTGTCTCAAACCCAAGGCAGAGGAAACACTATTTCAGATTTAAAATACCTGGCTGGAAAACAGGGCTACATACATCAGCATTACAGACTTTCCGCCGTCCAGAAGGACTACCATGGAGTCCCTGAAGAAGAGTTTTCTGATCAAAGAAAGACCACGGGACTGATGTCTGTGCTCTTAGATATGAACCTACCTCTGGGGACCTCACGTGGACCTTCAGTCTGCAGGAACTCAGACCGTTTCCCACAGCCTTTGGAGGTGGCGACGGGATGTTGTTATGCACTGACAGTCCAGGATGTAACCGTCCCCTTCCAGGAATAAAGGCCACTTCTGTGTTTCCCTCATGTCTTAAACAAACAACAAATACGGAACATTTTATTAACCAAAACAAACAAACAAACAAAAGCACAACTTAAATTTGCAGAACTTTCATGCCTGTGGTTCTTTCTCCGGCATAATCTCACTTAAGCCCATGTAGCCTGCACCAGTGTAGCTGGATCTCCACCAGCTGGGTTGCTTGTTTGACCTTCAGTTCTGTTGCAGAACTCTGCTGGGCAGTGATAGGGGATATTCTTGAGGACCAGAGCATTGGGAAGGTCTGGATTAAACTTCAGGATGATCCATGAATTCAAGATTTCCTTATATGATCACCTATCAGGACCATCTTGAAGCATCATTTAAGACTAATAATGCTTATGCTTCTTGAAGCCAGACATTGGTGGGACATGAAGGTTGGACTCGAGATCTTAAAGGTCCTTCCAACCTAGATGATTCTATGAAGGGGTTTTGCCTAAGACTCAGCAGCACCATGATGATGATGATGGGAAATATGTTACACGCCTACCTGAATTTGGCTTTTGCAATTATTTTTCTGGCCTCTTCATGTGTGCTGCCCACCAAAGAATCTTTATTGATAGCAATTAGTTGGTCACCAGGTCGGAGCCGACCATCCTAAACAAAGAAGGATAAAGTCAGAGCATTGGGAAGGAATAATCCTCTGCCCAAAGCCTTGTCCTGCAACACAAATCCTCGTTAGTCCACGCAACGCGTTATTCATCTAGTCTTAGAAAAGCTGCTTCAGAACAACTACAGCTTCTAGGAGAGGTCCCCATTGCAAAGTCACGGAGGGTCTCCACACTGACTTACCTTGTAACAGTCACCATCTGGCAAAAGCTCTTGAACATAAATCATGGGGCCATCAGGCCTGTTAGATCCACCACTGATTGTCAGCCCTAAGCCGGAGGATTTTGCTATAGAAATGCTCTGGATTCCTGATTCAATGGAGTAGCTGCAAGGGAGAGACGTTAGCAGGTGACTCAAGGTGATCTGGTTTATTTTCCCGTGTTGCTGAACAAACTCTGCCCAGCTTTCCTTCCGTGCACGATCCTTCTAACTTCTCCCAACCTTTACTGCCTCCACGTCTTTTCTTCCACCCAACCTTGGGCAGAAGAGGTGAGGACTCCAGTTTCTCAGCAGGCATCGTTCAGCGTTATGAAGGTGCCTGGTTTACATAATCCCAAATGCTGGGAGACACTCATGTGCATTTGGAAAATAAAAAAAGAGAAGAAACTAAAGGTTTAGCCAATATATATTTCACGCTCTTGGTGTTTATAGCCAAACGCATATCGATGGGGTTATTGTTTGAATCCAGCAACTCTGGCCTAAATCATCAGACAGCAATTTGCAGATCAGCCAACTATTAAGCAGCCCTTAGCAAGCATCGCAGTGAAGCTCCGGATGCACAGCTTGTTATGTCTTAACCAAGTTTTGGGCTCAAAACCTTGCCAGATGCTCTACGAAATGAGCCCTTAAGCACCTTGGTAGCAATACCCACCACACTGTGATTTACTCCTGCGGCAGTGGTAGAGGTGACTCTCCCAGTCCCAGATGTGCTGCAAATGGAGCAGGAGCAAGGCTGGACCTTGTTAGAGGTCTCCCCTCCAAGGGCTGCCCGCTAGACAGGGCCCAACAGGCCACCAGGACCAGGCCACGGCAGGCGGCTCCGTGCAGGGAGAGAGAGAGAGAGCAATTGCAGTAAGTGCTTGTGGGAGCAGAGATTTCACTGGCCACCCGCAGGCGGTTTTTGGGGAAGGATTTGGGGGGATCTAAGGGTCAGCAAGCCTTTTGCTCCTCATGGGTTGGGTGCAGCAGGCTTCTCTCCTTTTCAGTTTGGTTCTACAGCAGCCACTCGCCAAACGGTCTGCGGTTTCTGGTCCTCCTTGTGTTAGGTGATAACTTCAGACGCAGTGACAGCTGTGCATCCCGTGCCTCAAAGTGACACCGGTGCCGTCGCAGCGATGCCAACCCCAGTGGTCAGACACCCCAGTGACAGAGCAGCATGTGGCCAGGGACCCCTCCAAACCGGCAGCAGACCCCCAGGAGCTGTGCGGGGAGAGGGAAGGGACTGCATTGATGCAGCACGCATCTTAACCTTGTGAAAAAAGCATTGCTCTTAAGAAATATTTTAGGAAAATGAGGTCACGAAATGTAGCAAATCAAAATAACAGACACTGTCTGTGGCGAGACCGAATCGTATCTGGGTCCCGTTGCTCACTGGGGTGGCAGGACCTCAGATGACACCGCAATGAGAGGTCGCAGCCTGGGGACGACCGGCAGTGAGAGGAAAGGATGGGTGAGGGATGGCAGCCACGTGCATGAGAAGACCAGGCTGCACATGGCCTGAGTTACATCTCTGCAGCCGACCACCAAGGCTCCACACAGTCTGTGACCTCAAACGGCTCGTGCTGCTCCCAGGAGGAGACCACTGGGGCCTGGCACTGGTATGGAGACAAGCAGACCGTGGCACAGCATGGCAGCGCTGAGCGAGGAGGCCACCAAGCCAGGTCCCCTCTAGCCTATATTGCAGCCTGGAGCGGCTTAACAGCAGAGCAAGGATGTCTAGTTTGCCCAAACCAGCTGCCGAGTAGATGAGGTGGCCTCTCCTCTGTAAGGGTCTCTCGCTCCATGCAAGCAACTTAAACCTCTGGTGCCAAATATTTGTCCTCTGCAAATCCCTAATAAAGAGCTGGTATTTAGCAAGAGGATTTACTGGTTCCGCAGTGAGGTCTGATTTTCTTTACCAGTGACTTGGCTTTTTTACGCTGGCAAAGAGAGGGAAGCTGCAAGCCCTGGGGACAAATGGTCCCAATTCCACGACTGTTAACACCCTTCGAGCCGTCCCTCTTGAGAAGGGCAACCCCGAGCACCCTGGAGACGAGACTCCGCAGAAAAACAAGCTCTGCCTGTCCAAACCTCTGACCCGGCGAAATATGAAAGGGACAGATGACCACATGAAAACACACGCTCCAGGAGATGCTCTGGAGACAAAAGGATGTGGTGTCTGTAGGCAACCACTGTTGACACCAAAGCGAAGGGCATCGGGAGTGTTTGCATCGAGAGGGCAGTGCTTGTGCTCTTGTTGCACGATGTCAACGTGCCAGAAGCAGGGCAATGGAAAACATGCTCTGAAACACCTTCCGAAAGCACCACTGGCCTCACAGAAACACTCCGCTCGTGACGTGGTTTATGAAGGTGATGTGCCGGGTCCTCTCAGCCAGACTGTAAGCCACGGCTTCTCCCTGGCTTTCAGAGGGGAGGAAGGGGAACAGTTGCATGGTTAACCATGTTGCAAACATCTAGACTGCCTCAACAGGGAAGCTTTTCGGCTCTTGGGCACAGGCTCCCCAGGAGCGGTCAAGCTGCCACCACCACAAGGACTTCTAGAAGACACCATGGTCTCCTAGCCATTGTGGTGGTGCAATGGTATTGAAGATAAAAGGATGAACAAAGCAGTTCTTCAAACACTGGAAGTATTTACTGCATCTAACCCTAAGACAGCGTTAGACATGCGGTAATATCTTCATGACTGACCAAGGGACAGGCCCCGTACGTACTGTGCGTGAGGGGGGTGCGCCGGGTTCCCGATGAAGGGGCTGTGGGAATTGGCGGGGCTCAGCAGCAGCGGGCTCTGAGAGCGCGAGGAGGAGCCCGAGGATGTACTTTCCAGGTATCGACCTGAACAGCAAAGTCAGAGTCAGTCCAGGGAACGCAAATACTCCAGCATCACCCTCTTCCCCTGCTCTACCTCTGAGAGCTGACACCGTTTTCCTAGGTTTTTTGGGGAAAACCACATGGGAGTTAAAGGCATGGAGAGGAAATGTTCACTCTGCTCAGCATGATCCTGATGTGGGACTGTCACCCCTCTACCACCCCTACATACCTCTGCCACGGGGGAAGGGTTGACAGCCTTCTGGTGGGATGCCAGGCCAGAGGACACCCTCTTTCCCCACGCGCGTGTGATTTGATGCGCTGGCACCTGGCTTAGCTTAACCTTCTTGCGTCTCACTAAACATTTCCCGCTTGCGAATGAACAGAGATGGGTTCTGCTGGGGTTCGCCCAGCACGTCGGTTAGGCTGAGTTTGGGGATCTGGGGAGATCTTATGACCCCAACTCAATTCTCCCTCGCTGCCTCGCTCTCTGCTTGCTCCGTGCAGGCAGGACTGGCCGTGCCTGCTGCTCCGTACCTGGGGACGCACTAAGTGCTCGCAATAAGAACGAGCAAGACTTCTCTGCCTGCAAACCTCCACCCGAACACCTACGCAAAGCAAATCGAAACTCCTTCAAAATAACACTGGGACAAAGAAAACTTTCTCAGGGGAGCGAGGGGCTTTTGGTTGGCTCCCCCCAAAAGCAAGCTGAGCTACTCACCGCCGCCATGCAGGATCGGCGAGCTCCGCGCTGAGCCTGTGTTACTTTGGGAGCCGAACTTCTCCAGCAGCTCGGAGAACTCTCTCCTGGAAAGAAAAACACGGTATAGTCAGCTGCTGTGCAAAACTATTCCCCACCTGATGGCAGTGACTTACTACCAAGTCTGTGGGGCTGATTCCCTCCAGCAATGGGGACAAGACAGAGCTTTCTCATGAATAAGGGTATGACCCCCAGGGTTTCAAGAGGCTGTGCAAGGTTTAAGGTCGATAATCAACCTCACGGCAGTGGAGCTTTCCTGCGATGGGCTGGAGCTTCGGTCTGCTCCTTCCCTGCCCTGCAAAGCGTTCAGGGTGAACATGGGCAAGAGGGGCTGGGAGGGGATGTGTGGACAGGCACTGGTGCCGGGGACTGTCCTTCCTGAGAGAGGGTGGATGAACACAGGAGCCCTGCCGTGCACCCCGCACCCCTGCCCTGCACCCCGCCGCTGGGACCGTCCTGGGAATCAGCTGGAGTGATTTCAGCCCCAGCTATAAGGCTCAGAAGTTTAGCTAACGCACCACACAAATTAAACAGACTGTCAGAAGGAGCTGTAACTACGCAAACATAAAACAAAAATGCTTGGCCTGTTTGTGACTCCTTCCAGAATAGTTATGTGTAGATTATTCTCCATTTTGTTCTCCTCCTTTCCTAGACAGAAAGCAGATCCTGCTAGCTCTTGCTGGGGGTAAAGATGGGAGATGGCTTCTGGACCACGCGCAAAAGCAGCAGCCCACTCTCTGAATCCATCCATGGTGATGTCCTCCATGAACATCACAGGCTAAACTCTTGGAGCACAAGACAAAAAAGACCTGCACGCATAGAGCGTGCTGGGGCAGCACAGGCTTCTGTACTCTTCCCATCAGCTCACGGCTGAAGATGCCGAACTAGCAGACACTTGCTAAATTTACAGGGATCAAGATCAGAAGGGCTCGTCCGTGAATTTCAAGAACAAGGAGGGGTGGGTGCCCACATTTAGCACGATCCCTCTCTCTTGAGGTAAACCGCCCTGCTTCCTCTCTGTGAAGCAGTCTCATCCCCAACATCCCCTGCAAAGCTGGCTCGGTGCCCAAGGGCCTTCATTAATGCTTTCCTTCCAGGTTGAGTTTGGCCACCATACTACCCGAATGCATTGAGTCCTTGATGAACCGTAACTACCCATACACAACGGCAAATCGCTTCGTGACCTTCCTTTTTCCAAGTGTTAACACGTTGAGCTCTTAAACCACGAAGAACCACCATTAACCATGTTTACCAGCTCCAGCACCATTTCTGTAACCCTGCTTTGAGCTGCCAGGAGCCTCTCGCACAGTTTGGGATGAGGAGGCATGGAAGGGGGGTGCCATGTTCAAGCATCGGCCTCCTATGCCTGTCCCTAAAAGAGACAATGTGGCTCCCAGGAGCGTGCTGTCCCTCCGCAACTGTGCAGTCTTCTCGCTTCAGAACCCAAACCTTCTGTCTCAATCCAACCTTTTGACAGGGAGAAGAACCTCAAGGATGACTAATTTCTTACAGGTGTCATTAAACGAGCAGCCAAGCAATGGGGAGAGACCCTGAAAGCGTTGTTTCTGTGGCCACAGTAATGACATTAGATGTCCACTTTGAAGGCATGAAGGAATCCCCGTGGGAAGGTGCCTTCTTGATGCTCTAGCCACAGGAAAAGCCTGGTGATGAGTGGCTAAGCTCTCACACTCGACAGTCAGACAAGCTCAAGCCATAAATCTGTAGGAAACCAGCCACAGCAAAGTTTCGTCGGTGAGGAGACTCCTCTTACACACAAGCAGACGACGTGTCATCGGTGTACTTTACCGGGACAGATGTTCTATATTATTGGCTAGATTAGAGTCAACAATATTAAATGATGAATGAATCACCAGCTCCTTAGGTTGCTGATGGAAATGCTCTCAGTAATTTACATCTTCCCATTAACAACCAGCTCATTAACTAACTTCAAAGACCAGTGCCTGCCTTATCTAGTATTGCCATCAAACGTATGCCTTATTCATTCCATTTAATGCTAATTTTAAATCCAAGTGTCGCACAATACTCGGTGGAATGCCTCAGTGAACCCCAATACTTTACATCAATGCTATTGTCGTTATCAACTAAACCCCTGACCTTAAAAAAGACAACTACTTCGTTCCAAAAGCCCACCTTCCACAAAACTGTTCTAACAAGCAGTTTCATAGTGTCAGGCACTGAAATAGGTGTAAAAGCACTGAGAACGTGGATGGACAACTTAGACCTGATAGCAACAGGACAACGGTTTGCTGTTCTGTGGTTCCCTGGGTTAAGCTTTGGATGGATCTTACCTTAGCAGAATTTTTCCAACATTCCAGTAAAGCCTTTTTATTCCTATGGGTGATTCAGACTCAGTGATTCAGTACCATTTCACTGGTAACTCATGGTTGATGGCCTTACCGCTCCGTGACCTGTTGCAAAGGCAGTCTAACACGCTGGAAGCTAACGTGTTATTTCCAGTGGTTACCAAGCCATCAGCAGCTGAGTGGTTTTTTTTTTGTTTTGGGCTGGGTGTTTCCGTGGTCATCCATTGTTACGTTTTCCTCAGATAATAACCCATCAGAGCACAGAACAGGTTATGAACTTAAAACAATGGCTAAAAAACTCTTAGTCAATGCAAATGCAACTAGTCTGGCAGCTCTCGCGCTCTTTAAAGCCTGCGAAACAATGCGAACCCAATCACCAATCCATGCTGCCAGACTCGGTTATAAGCAAGGGCACCTATGACTTGAGCATTCTTTGTTGTTGTTTATCCCAACGTCGTTAAGTTCACCCACAAAGGAGTATTTATCATTATTTGCTCAGGAGCCTGAACAGCGAGCTCCGAGCCCAGGGTTGCTTTGCAAGCCCCGGGCCAGCCCGGTCGTTTGCCGTAGGGACGATGTGACTAAAGGCTACGTCACGGGCGACTGTCCCAGCTCCGGCTTTAGCGGTCAATACTGCAAGCCCCAGTTCCACCAAGGTCATAAACACATGACTAACTTGAAGCACACGCTTCTCCCAGCAGCGAGCAACGCGCTTCTCTGCTGTCAGTCTCCTGAGAATTAATTTTGTGCTCGGTGCTGTGTTTGAAGGAGTTTGCAAGCGGGCAGACGATGCCCCAACATTACCGATTAATGAACGAGTACGCC